CGACACACACACACACACACACACACACACACACACACACACACACACACGCACACGAAGAAATAGCTTTACTTTCTATTGTTAGAACATCAAGCCCACTCATAAATCAGTTTTCCTGCTCACACAGTTAAAAGCACAGAGTCCCCAATAGCACTAAAGTATATAACACCACAGGATCATAATATATCACCTACTCATATTATTGTATTACAAAACTCTTGGCTATTGCTTAATTATCATTCATTTTTAACTATTCGTAATGATTTGGGAGGCCAAGCAGGATCTAAATGTGTCCTGACAGATGCTTAATTCTTTTCTTAAAAATAATAAACATTTTTAAAACAAAATAAAAATAAAAATAGATGGCTCCAGGCAGCACTGTAACTGGTAGGGCTATTCATAGCACAGGATGTTTTCTTGAGCGAGGGCCTAGTCATTAGTTGTTTAATGACTGCCAGCACCTCTTGGAAGAAGCATTAAAAATTTCCATCAGTGCTCCCTTGCTGGCTTTCAGTCAGCCATGTATTGCCAACACCAAGCATTCAAAATTCACAAATCCGGGGTGACACGGATACACAGACACTCAAAGAAAAAAAAAAAGAGAAAAAAAAGAATCATGAGATTGATTTAAAATAATAAAATCTGGGTCTCTATTTCCCTTCTGGAATTTGAGCCTTCAAAATTTGTGGTTTTGGGAAGATGGATGGTCCAGTGGTTAAGGTGCTGGCCTGGCACGTGGGAAACCTGGGTTTAATTCGCTGCTTTGCCATGGACTTCCTGAGTGAACTTGGGCAAGTCACTTAGCCTCTTGTGCCTTAGTTCCCCATCTGTAAAATGGGGATAATAACACTTCCCTACCTCACAGTGAGGATCAAAATATTGTGAAGGGCTTTGAGATCTACTGATGAAAATATAGGCAATTATTATTATTTTGTTGTTTCCAGCTTTTCTCTGAAAACATGAACGCTAGAAATTTAACACAAACACACACACACACACACACACTCTTTTTTTAAAGTAATATTCTCACAAATCACATGAATCCAGGAGCTTGGACTTTCCAAAAAAAACACCAAGAGTTCTGGCAACACGGTGGAGGACATGGTTTACATGCATGTCATGGTCCACATCTCTCCCAGCATATCTAGCAAAACTCCATTGGTGAAGGCATAATATTTGTCTCTTCTCAATTTGATGCTGCTTCCAAAGCAGCCGCAAAACAAGGTCTGAGTTTGAGCTTGTCTGTGAAATAGCTGAAAGAGTCCTCACAGTGAGAAGTGTTCAAATCTGTTGCTGAGTGGCAACAGTCTGTATTCATCAGGCTGTTCACCACAGGAAAGAGGCCAAACAATTCTGCTGGCCCAGATATTGTGGATTCAAAGACATATTTTAAAATTAACTGTTTTCCAACAAGGCTTTAGCACTAATGCCCTTTCTGTTTTTTTTAAAAAGCTATTTGAAAAATTCTAGGCCAAATATAAAAGGAGCAGTGGGGAGGCATTCTTAAGAGGTGAACTCTATCCCTTTTGTGCATTCAGGTAATTAAAATAGACAAACATATTTATGTACAATTCAAGCTATAAGTGACTGGGGAATAAGGACTACCTTTACTGAGGAGAAAATGGCTCTTTCACTCTAAACTATAATGGTAATAAATGGCAGTGAGCACATGTGGATCTGCCAGAAGTATTTAGCAGCTATTGAGCTTTTGCCCTTGTGCAATAAAAGTTTCATAGTTTAAGTTGAAGCTGACCTACAAAGGTTACAGGATACAAATCAAAAGCCTGCCGTCACTCATACTGAAGACAATAGCAGAACTTCCACTGACTTCCATGTTTTAAACTAACAAAAATTCCATGTACTCTCAGAATTGTTGGCTAAGATTTTTAAAACTGGGGGCCAGACTTTCAAAGGTACTTGGGAACCTAAAGATTCAGATAGGCTCTTCTGAAATTCCCAGTAGTGCCTCAGTTCATTAGACACCTAATTCCCATAGAAAGGCAATGAGAGTTAGGCACTCAGTCTGCTTAAGAGCTTTGAAAATCCCATTAGGAACCTACCTGCACCTTTAAGTGCCTGAACACCTTTGAAAATCCGGCCTTGGTGCCTACAGCTAGGTTTCTAAGTTCATGTTTAGGTACCTATATAAATGACCTGATTTTCAAAATTGCTTACGTCCATGAGAATTGCTGGGTGCTCAGCACTTCTGAGGAAATTCAGAACACTTATTAGATGCCTAACTTTAGGCATCCAATTTTGAAAGCTTGACCATTTGCAGTACAAATCTTGAGATCTGATGACAGCAATGGTGGAATACCACCACAGTGAAAAGCTTTTATGAAATATTTCAAATAATAATTTTCTGAAATGTGTCAGTTTAGATGGCTTAATAATTAGAAAAAAATTGCAATATGAAAGTAATTTTATTCTTTCCTCTTATTGATGGCCACCTGCTAGCCTGTAAATTGCCTGTCTTTAGGAAAAGGCAAACAACACTTTTTAACAGGTTTGTGTTACCCCACTTGAGAATCCCCACAACAAACCCAAGCACTAAATAATATGAAGTAATACAGTTCAAAATGAGGTTTCAGTTGATTATGTTTATTTTATAATGTGAGCCTGATTATGAAGAGGTACTAAAGATATTCAGTTGTAGACTATTGTTGCTAATTATTATTGTTGTACTGAACAACTGTTTGAAGAATAAAAATTATATGCTTTATATCTTCTACACATTCTTGGAACTCATTTTAATGATCTGAACTCCCTTGGATATATTGTTTCTCTTCAATAGCGAATGCACAATGTGTTCTTAAAGCCAAGAAAAACTAAATCATTACAGGAACAGTGACATATAATAGTATGATTAATAGTTCCAGATCTGTCACTTCTCATGAGTTATGCAATTATTCCCCTCCCAACCCTTACTAAATAAAAGTTTCTTTCAGCAAGAGAAAGTATTAAAAAAAGAAAGAAAGAAGTACATTAGATTTACTTATTTTGAAAAAAAAAAGAGTAAAAAAACTTTCCTCTTTCCTTTTTTCAATATATGTATTATATCTCTTCCCTGACTTTTTCTTAATTTTTAAAAGCACTGCCTAATTTAAAGTGGGAAGGTAAAATACATTAGGAACTGCAATAACAGGAACAAACCCATAGTTCATCTAACTCAGTTCCCTGTCACAGACTGTGAACAATACTGGGTGCTTCAGAAATTGTTTACATCTGCTTTCTATTTTTTTTATTTATAAAGTATGTCTATGCCATGTACAGTGCTTACTATTTCTGAACATATCCCAAGACAGAAGCTCCAGAAATAAGCAGATCTCCAGAGATCCACATGATCTAATACAGCTCCCTCAAGATATCCAAACTTCATGTGTGTTTGGAAACAGAAAGAAATGATCCTAAATAATATGCACAGGTTATGGATAATTGTCTCCTTAATTGTCCTAAGAATAGCTCTGTCTCAGGCTCCATCTACCGCTTATTCTACAGTCCATGAGCTCAGACATAGTGTTCTTCTTTTTCATTGCCCCAGCAGTTTCCTTGTTTGATGTCGAACTCCATAGTTCTCCATACAATCCATGTTAAACAATTAATTACTATCTTCTGTTTTGGGCTAAGAAGTCTATCCTATATAACTGGCTACAGACAAACCCACTCCAACGTCAGCACTTGAAATCTTTTTGGGACCAATTTACTCGGCAAGTTATTCCCACAGAAAACCTCACATTTAAACTGTGAGATAAAACAGACATTTTATGAAATGAGGGCCTTCTCACGGGATTCCCAGATAAGGGAATTTGATGACATATTGTTCACGGATTCAGGGACTGGATTCTGCCATAGCAACACTTGCCACCTGATCAATTACACACCAGAGAGAAAACAATGAATATGCAAAGTGAACAGTTCATGAACCACTGGCAGCTTAAAAATTATTTGGCAAAACTATTTGGTGAACAATGATTTTATTAGCAAAGGAAAAAAATAGGCTATGTTTTTGGAATTTTTGGTTCAACAAGGATTGTTTAACAGGCTCTATTACCAATAGGAAAAGCACAGTTCAAGATAATGTCATCTATCAGTACTGCTGATTAACATGGACTGGACTTTTAATTATGCCTTCACTGGGCACATTCCTGCCACGCCTTTCTGAATGGACGATGACATGCCATTTACATGCTAGCATCATATGAATGCTATATCATGAGCTCTATATCCAGTGCATTCAGAAGATTACCAAGGGCAGGATAGTTTGGATACAAACAGACTGCTTCCCTTGCACTCTGATTCAAAATAACATGAGCATTAGTGACAGTAACACACACCAACAAACTTAAAATTAAAGCACTGTACAAAACCACAGGGCACAGAGTCTTACTTTAGAAAATGGCACTTCAGAGAATTTCTGATACACCATGTGACACATTTATATCATGTTAAATGCTAAGACATTATAATGCACAGAAGAAAAGACATTTACAGCACAAATTCAGTTGACAACCACCCACAATTGGGATAGTACATACCTCCTTGGCCATGTCAGTGTATTTCTGCTTTTCTTTCGGGTCTAGAACAGCCCACCAATCTGCCAATATCTTGGTAGCACCACGATTGTCCAGACGGGGGTGTTCCTGCCGCACAAGGGAGCGATGACGTTTGCAAAATAAAAGAAATGCGTTCATTGGCCTGCGGGCTCGCTGCTCTGAGGATTCATCATCTTCTGTTTCATCAGCATCGTGCTCTAGACCTTCAGCTCCAAGAAGTTGGACCTATTAGCACCAAAAGAGAAATGTTAAAAAAAATAAATCTGTCAATAAAACATGGATAAGCGTCACCCATTATATTAAAATTTGTGCATGCATATATATAACTAAAACAATGATACGCACACGGCCTTCCTAAAATATGTCTACAGAAAAAGCTTGTTCAAGCCAAAGTTTCACTCAAACTCTCTTCCCAGACTTGAGCTCATCCTGTTGAGTTACCTTGACTATACCTTTGGTAAACTTCTTAATTTGAATAATTAAATATATACACTGAAATTTTAAGTTTCCTCAGCCTACTATAAATCCACTCTGATGTTCTTTGTTACCTCACAGTTTAATAAAAGATAAAATGAGTGCTAACCCAAAATCCAAAACACATAAATATCCTCAAATATGTCACACATTTCTAACCACACCCAAGAAAGTTATCATTTTATCAGCCATGCTCCTGACTCTCAATGATCCACTCAAAGATCTTTACTGGACTGCCTCTCAACACAAATGGAGTAATGCTAAGGGCTTATCTTTTGGAAGGGACAGACTACCTTATCGATATCTTCTTCTTCCTCTTCTTCCTCCTCCTCTTCAGAAAAGTCAAGGATTTTCTTTGCAAGTAGTGGATGCCACTGAAGACACTTTCTCTTTGGTCGTTTCCCAGTTCCCTCTCCTTCTGTTGAATGATCCTTATTCCGATTACTGCCTTTCATTACTGTGACCTGCCATGCAAAAATAGACACAAAAGTCATTTTACCAAATTCATACAGATCACTTATGTATGTTAAGCATAAATGATGATCCTGTAAAGAGCTGAACAAACTAATACCCAATTCAGAGGTTTATCAAATATAAGATTCTCAATTTTTTTTACAACACTATATACGGACATTTAATTTAATAAGTTATTAATATGGCATTATGAGAGCTCGCTGTGGATGAATCCTTTCTTGTCTTAACACTCCCTTTTAGCTACCAGATCCACCCGTGACATCCAGATTATGACTACGTAATAACGGAGACACTAGCCCTATCTAGCTCTCAAACACGCTCTTGCCCAATCTACAGTTCAAAGTATTCACACTTCACCAGCTAAGTGAATCAGCAGGAGGCTTCAAGCTTCTCCCAAGCCTGTCTACTGCAGTATTTCATATTTTGTCAAGCCAGGAAATCCCTCCTTTTAGGACCAGAACATCTTGCTAGCCACTCATCTGCAAATCATGCACTTATATTTAGCAATGATGATTTTTAATCCTGTGACACCAAGAACCAGGATTTCCCCAGTGCCATTATCAAGTGCAGTAGAGAAATTCAACTCCAAGTCCTAAAGGGATGAATTATGAATTTGAAGCAAACAACAAGCAATTATACTAAAAACATTTTCAAAGTGCTTGTCTACATGAACATGTACACAATACAAACCCCCCTGAAAGAACGAAGTGCACACCCACACAGTACAGATCATATTTATCCACCACTCTTGCATATTTGTATTTCATATTAAATGTCTCAGATCTGTTTTTATTGAAATACATAATTATTGAATGTTAACAACCAATTTAAGGTGCTGCTTATAAGATCTGATAACCAGGTGCATCTTGAAATAAGGCATAATATCCCTCCATGCACACTGGATACAAATCAATTATTCTTTTTTGAAAAAAAAATCAGATTTTGTTTTAAATTGTTTTTTATTTCATAATTCAAATAAGAAGTTTTTCTTTTTGAAAAATACACCTGTTTAAAATGAAGTCTGAATTTAATACGTTAAGGCCTAAATTTATTATAATCTCTTAAAACATTTATATAAAAATAAATATACTGTATCCATGACCCTCTACCAAAACCTCGAAGTTAAAGGCTGCTTTTCTACATAAAGAAAGACTCAGGGGGAAAACATCTAATTTTTAAAGTCAAGCTTTATAAATATGGCACAATAGTTCATGTAATACACTAAGGCTAGTTTTGTTTATTAAAAATAAATTTTGTATGCTGGTTTGTGTGTTTAATTAAATCCCAGTTGCCATCCTAACACAGCTTGACAGAAATCATGAGCTAAAAGTTAATAATCTACTAAATAAGCAATATATCATTCACGATTTTCTAACATACTAAAAATGTAAAATTAATAAGAATCTGAAAATATTAAAGCTATATAATTGCTCAAATAATTATATATAGTTATAGTGTACCTTCCTAAGTACCAAATCTACTATAAAGGCTGTATTTAGTTATATGTTTTAATGGTTATATCAGCCAATGAAAATGCACCTTTCTTTAGAAAATAACTGATGAAAATAACAAATGAAAAGTTGATTAAAATCAATTATTTAAATTGCCTTGGTTTAACTCAATCCACCCTTCCTCCGTGTACCCAAGATAAGAGTTGGCAATTATTTATGGAACTTTTTTGGTTTGTTCATTTGCATCCTTTTGTTAACATGACATTAACATACAGTGCCTAGAGTCAAAGATTATACTAATGGTAACCAGAAAAAACACATATGAAAACGAGTGAATCTAGACAATGGATAACATATATAGCCTGTAAAAATATCTGTGGAAGATTTTGAAAGGCTAATGGTCATCTCTCAGTGGCAAGCTAACAATAATGGCCAAATCTTGGTCCCAATGGAAATTTCATCATTAACTTCAAATAGGACAAGGGTTTGGCTATTGGGAAAGATGTATAATCATTTAAGGGCAGGAAGGCAACATGGTGAAGATGCTGCTTTTGGAACGTAACTGCAGAACTATGACTTTTTAGTTCTAGGCCAGGGGTGGGCAAACTATGGCTCGCGGGCCATATCTGGCCCGCGGGACCATCCTGGCCGGTCCCCAAGCTCCTGGCCCAGGAGGCTAGCCCCTGGCCCCTCCCCCGCAGCCTTAACTCGCTCACTCCGCTGCTGGCGCAATGCTCTGGGCGGCGGGGCTGTGAGCTCCTGGGGCAGCGCAGCTGCAGAGCCCGGCCTGACCCGGTCTCTGCTGTGCGGTGGTGGCGGCGGCGATGGCAGTGTGGCCCAGCTCCAGGCAGGCGGCACGGCTGTAGCGCTGCCAGCCACTGGTGATCCAGGCAGTGCGGGGTAAGAGGGCAGGGAGCGAGCCGGGGGGGGGTTGGATAGAGGGTAGGGGAGTTTCGGGTGGTGGTCAGGAGGCGGGGGTGTGGATGGTGGTCGGGGCGGGAAACAGGGGGTTGAATGGGGGGACAGGTCCCGGGGGGGGGGGCAGTCAGGAAGGAGGGGGTGTTGGATAGGCTGGCAGGGGGCAGTCAGTGGCAGGGGTTCCGGGGCCAGTCAGGGGACAGGGAGAAGGGGTAGTTGGATGGGGCAGGGGTCCCCAGGGGGCCGTCAGGAATGAGAAGAGGGGTTGGATGGGGCCAAATTACATGTTCCATTCCAAACACAATTTTTAGTTATTAATATTGTGCCAGATTCTCAGCCCCAGCTCTGTCCCCCTTCGCATAAGGGTACATAATTTGGCTGCCTCTGAGCAGTTGAGAAATTCCTTGTTGGAGGAAACTTACTTGCACAAAGATTGCCAAGCCCCTTTAAGTGCCCCCCTCTGGCACAGGAGTTGTGTCAGGAGAGGGAGAGGGCAGAGCTCATCTCCACTACACTAGTTCTCTACTGACACATGGTCGGAAAGCATCCATAAACAGATTTCATAGGTTAGAGCAGCCTAACATATATCTGGGTCAGAGCGCTTGAGAATCAGGGAGCCACAACAGAATACAGATTGGCACAGTAAAAGAATCCAATGTAGTATTTTCAAGATAGAACTTTCCATGCATCATCTCATCCAAGACGTGGTTTTTGTTAAAGTTTGGGCAATATTCTTTTGTTCACTTAAGAATTACATGAGGGTAGAGGGGGTAGGGGGAGATGACATAAGCCACTTGCCCCATATGATCAAAGCTTCACTGGGGAACATGCACACCAAAGGTCAGAAGCTACCACAAGAAGTTCTAACTTGCGTAATTTCAATAGTCCTCAATGAAAAAGGAAAAAAATCAACTTCAAAAGAAGTTGCTTCAGTAATTTTAAAACTGGGAACATGTGTACCATTTTGATAATTTCACACATTTGCATTCGAATTGTTATTCGTTCCTTTCTCCACATTAACACATCAGGGACCCCTTCAGTTCTGGATGCTTCGGAACTTAGCAACTTTCCCATAAGATACTTATTTTATTGTTGTGTGTATCATCTTGATTTCCCATTAATGCTAATTTAAGACCTGCTTTTCATGTCAGTTATTTCACTGATAATTATCTGTAACCAATACTTCTTTTAAAATTATATTACCGGCACTATAGAAGTCTCATTACTATTTCAAAAATCAAGTTTAAGAGGCGGTTTTCTGCTCCCCCGAGTTTTAAAGAGGATTAAGATAAATCTTCACAAAAGATAAGTAATCCCACAGCATGTTTTATAAGTATTCTCAATTATATCTGAAAATGTATCCAGCAAGTAGTTTTGGAAAAGGCAAGTGAAAACAGGACCTGAGCATTAGCCATTTCTAAAATCCGTAAGGGATTCATGTCGTGATCTTTATTTATTATTGTCCCTTGCTCACAAATGATTGTTTATATTTTCCCTATACATAGGCCAAACATTGAGTACCTAACTATTCCTTAAAAACAATTAACTGAATTGTGTACTCATTGTTCTGCACATTACTGAATGGGTAAAAATGAATATTCAGCTTCCTGGAATTTAGTTACAATAATTAGGGTTTTTTTTTAATTGTGATATATTTTACCCTTGCAGTCATTATGATGCATCTATGATGAGACTCTTAATAAGGCAGCTACCAGCTCACCATAACAAGGGAACAAGAAACTCAGGTCTGTGGTACCAAAATCAATCAAACCCCTGGATATTAGAGAGGTAGATCTCTTTAGAGAGACACACATGGTCTCTCCTCCATCGAGGCTGGAGTAGTCTCTGATAGGGCCTGAGCCTGTACCCCTTAAGTCAATGGGACTTTTGCCATGATTTCAGTGGGAGAAGGATCAGGGCCACAACAAGGCCAGCTTTCAATCTTCCCTCTAACTTGGCAGCAGGGCAAGGAAACAAAACAAAATGCCCTCATGAAGTATGCAAAGCTATATCCTGTGCCATCAAGACACATTCCCCTCCCACCAACTTTGAGGAAAATCACAGGAGGCATTTTCAAGCCATTTGGATCACTCTTTTGTAATGTTTTAGCTTTTCTGATTTTTTTTTAGGGGAGGGGGGAGCTCATTTTATTTTACATAATCTTTGCTCTACACCTTTCACAGTAGTTTTAATTTGTTGGTGTCTACTGAGAATGATCCCTGGTACTTTCTTCTCCTGGCAGAAGTCTCTCACAACAGGAAGGCCAGAGAATTCCATAGGTGGATGTAAATGTTGTATAGAAAGGATATCAGCCTCTACCAAATTCTATAAGACTTTTCTTTCGCAGACTGAAGCTGAGAGACCACATGCTGAACATTTTCCTTTTGAATAGGTTCTCTCTCCATTCTCCCCATGTGCTCCACAGATACAGTATACTCATAATGACATATAGTCACAGTTAGTAAATTACTAAGGGTTGCTTAACACGACAGCAAAAAATACCTCTAATCCACATGAACTTAACATTTCCCTATTTTTTCCTTTCAAGTTCTTGGCTACTTACAGTATTACCACACTGGATAAAATCCAATTAAAGTTCAAATGAACACATAAATAAGTTAATGGTATCTTGTACTATACTACCATTG